TAGTGCCCGTAGGGCTTCATTCTGGGCGAGTTTGAAGAAATTCGATTTTTTCGCTATTTCCAAGTCTAGTTGATATTTAGGCGAAGCTGCTCTTAACACATTAAAACTTTGCGTCACGAAACCAACGACAGCTGACAGACATAGATCGACAAATCCGGCTTATTCTCGACATATCAACTAAGACTAACATCCTAGACCTTGAGACTAAAGCACAGGTGAACAGATCAAATCAAATACTTCACCTGCACTGCGTCAAACCAATGATCAGGAGCCAGGCTGTCATCATACCGATAATAGGCCTTCGGTTGTGAAATCACGTGATCTTTGAAAAATTGATGATGCTTGTCAAGTAACTCGTCTGTAAACCCGGTTCCAATCTGTGGGAGAGTGAATAGAACACTATGAGAACCTCAAAATACACGAGTTCGCTACACACATGGTTGCCACAGGCATCACTTTTCAAAACTCCCTGACTTTTCCCTGATACAAATAAGATTTCCCTGACCAAATAACTGCTGAAAATGTCAGATTTAAGAGCGGCTTCTGGACTCAACTTACAGCGTTTTCCATTCTTTTTTTCTTTTGTTTGGTTTTGTTTTTTCTTAATGTCTCGATGTATTGTTTCCTGTTTCCGAATAAAGCCTTCCGATTCCAGTATGGCTTTTGATCTCCAGAAACACCATCTATTAGAACTGTCACCCTTCGGTATCAGCTCGATGGTTTGTTTTTTTGGTTTTTTTTGAAAGAAAAGCTTTTTTACCTTCAGGGATGACTGAAAACTTTCAAAACATTTTAAGTTATTAACTATCAGAACAGAATACTCAGACGGGAAAAGAGATACAAACGTTCACTACAATTTAATTTAAGAAACAAGTTTGACTAGCTGTGGTTTGCCTGTTACCTTGCAGATAGTCTGGAACTCTTCATTCTCAGGATCATAGCAGGCCAGTAGATATCCACCATATGAACCAGTTCTTTTGCCTTTACCCAAATAACCTCCAATTACTACAACATCTATTGTGTCTCCAACACCAGCCAAGTAGTCTTTTTTCAACTGAAACAAGGAGCAGAAAATTCCACGAGGCAATTTGGTTTAGGCTTTTTAGTTTAGCTCTGCGCGCTAATAGAGATCATTTTAGCGGTTTTTGCCACAATCTTGGGTGTATCTTTGTTCCACATTTTTAAATTCTGCGATACTTTAAATCAAAAAATTTACGGAAAGTGACGTTATTTCACTTTAATTTCTTCGACTTTTTAAAATGACTTGCTTAGTTCAAAACTGGATTATAATAATACGAATTGTCAAAGTCGTAGCTTGGTGGCGTTTAGCTCCACTGTTTCTCAGAAAGACAGCAAGTAAGCTATCACATTTGGAACGTCAAGAGCCAATTACATCACGTCTAAACGGACCAGTCAGATCACTGTCGTGGGAAAAAAAGTTTCTCACTTTTAAGGCTCAGCTTCTCGAGACGTCAGTCACCAACAATGCTCTCTCATTACTATCACTGCCTTGCCCAAGTTAGATGACACGATACTCCTGGGTTCAAAACATTCACTGCGTTTACACAACACCGACTACAATGGAGCTCCATTGAACGGTTTTCAATGGAGCGTAAAACCAAAACCAAAGTAATCACTCTAGCCAATCACAAAGGACACAGACAATCCAGTGAACCAATCAAAACTAGAAGCAATTGCCTATAACTGACGCAAAGCGCGGGAAAACGCGTGCGAGCGAATCACGATTGGTTTTGGTTTTACTCCTGATTGGATGAAAAAGTGGCCGAGTTTTTTAAACCAATCGGGTGGCGTAGTAAGTGCAATACCAATTACTTTTCGACACTCAGATAAAAACCGCTCTATATCAATTGTTGTGTCACAGATTTCGTCACGCGTAGAGCGGTTTTTAATTGTTTGTCAAAAGTAATTAGACAATTACTTTGGTTTTGGTTTTGGTTTTACTTCGGTTTGAGATTGGCTGAGTAGTCTAATTGGTAAGCAATTGGTTTTGTTTTGGTTTTACGACACTCAATTGAAAACCGCTCTAACAAGCAATGAGTGTATTGCATTAAGAACAGTCAAAGAAGTTCGCTTTACCTTTAACCAGTTGTGCGAACGTTTGGCGATTTCGTAGGTGGCGTCTACTTCAAGAGTTTTCACCATCAGACCTTCACAATTACCTTTGGAGAGAGATAGGACACAGTTAGAAAATATACAACCCTCTCATGATGGATAAAAACACGCCAGCAAACAATGGAGAGAAACTTCCAGTATGTTAAAAATGGGAAGATTCAGATGTCTTTTTTTCTGACAAGGAGGAGGTTCAAGAAACCTTACCCTTGATGGAGTCATCTAAAAATTCAGCAATGTCATCCGTGTTGACTGAGTCAGAACTATGAGCAAACACGAATTCCTGTCGTAGTAAGAAACACGACATTAAATACTTGTGTAGCAAAAATACCTTTAACAACTTGTAACATCCTCTAACAGAAGAGAGAGAGGTTATCGAGGAAGTGATATATATCAAACATGAGAGACAGTGTTTCATCGGGATATCCCAACACCGAGAAGAGAGCTGATAATACGATGCGCAGCGGAGTATTTTTGACGAAATTCGAGGTGTTTGGATAGCTGATGAAACACTGTCTCGAGTGTTTGATATATCTTGTCAATCAAAACAAAAGCTAAGGAGTAAACGGAGAAGTAAACTCGTCAAAATCTATGCTAATAAAGACCGGGTATCCAAACCTCCCTCACGGTTGTGACTTTCTGATAAAATATTAATGAGTTTGAGAAGTAATAATGAAGAATCCTTTTCCTACCCCTTCAACTTCTGTAAATGATGACCGTAGAGCTTCTCTGCGAGCTCGAAAAGGTTCCTTGATGTACGACTGGAAAAAAAAACAAAAAAACAAGAGGGACAGAGCACTGTTTTAAACAAGTTCTCCATAAAACCTACACCTTACCTTACATTAGGCTTGCTGCGTTTCATTCACATTAAGTAGTCAGAGTTCACTTCATTCTAACAGGTATACCTCATATTTCTTAAATAATATAGAATAACATATGTTTTTCTTAAGTGTCTCAATGGTCCGGAATCCAGAATCCTGTAATTTAATTGGCTAATTACGCCGGACAGTTTTTCACGATACGGACCCCGACATCCCCTCGCTAGAAACTTTAGGTTTTGGTTCCCTTTAAAAAATGTAGCCTACATAAACGCAAAAAGAAAAAACAGAACACGGAATTAAAGACATGGATTTGGATAATGAAAGCTATCAAAGCGAAAAACTTTTGTCTTCGTTCTTGAGTATGTGCAGTAACTTGAATGGCTTTTTTACCCTTCGCATTCACGCGATATCAAAGTTTTTCGCTATCAATTCTTGCGACTTTATTTCGAAAATAAAAAATAAAAACGTTTTTCGCCGGCTTTGGTTGGTCCTTGTCGAAAGAACTTCCCTGAAGTCCAATACTCCTGACCTGAGTCGGGCCGTACTTAATTTCTCGATACAGCAAATAACATATCATGATATGTGTATTTTGACACATATAAACTTTACTTACTTTTCCATTAAGATACAACAAATCAAATGCATAAACACAGACTTGAACTTTAATCTCAGAGGCATCAGCATCCTGTTGGGAGTAAAAAAAAATAAAATCAATATTAATATAATTTAATAATGACAGATGAATAGGTACCTGAGATCAACAAACTTCTCGCATACCAAACAATTGATATTGAGAATAATAAATTGATTACCTTTCTTTTTCGTGTACTGAGAATCTGAAATGGTAAAATCTGTTTCTTTTCTCTGTCCCACGCCACAGCTTCAGCATCAATTATGCAGGACTTTACACCATCACCCAAAACCTGGCAAAAGAAGGAGGAAATCTTAGGAACTGACCACCAAATGCCATGGATAAAAATTGAGTGATATTCAACCGGGGGTATTACTTTACATGTTAGCGCTATGAGAGCAGAGGGAGAAACCATACCAAGGAGTTATTTCTAAGGATGAAAGAATGACAGAAAACTGCAGCATGTCAATGATCATCAGGGGTTCCAAAACATTCAAAACGTTTGATCTGAACTTCTTTATAAGAACTTTCTCAGGATGGCCAAACCAGGCAGACAAAGTCATTCCCACTGCTGGCCAGTGCACCCTGTTGCCAGCCCTTATTGAAACCACTGGATCTTGACATATCACTATCAGTATGCTCAATGCTACAAAACAAATATAGGCATGCAATGCGTGCATGAGTTATTTTAGGACAATTGTGCAGAACTTTGTTTCTTGTTTGCGCATCCACATAAGGTCAAGTTACATATTGCTATTAAAAGGAACAGGCTGGGAAGCTGACTTGGACAAAGACAACTTGAATACACTTGCAGTTCCAGTTCACCTAAATGTATTTTCATTTCATTATCTTGGACAAATGAGGAAAAATTGAAAAAGACATAATTTGTAGATTGTATGTCAACATTGCTAAGAAGGCAGAGGGAGAAGAACAAAACTGACCTTTGGTATTCTTTCAATAATGTCGGGATACTTGGATGTACTGTTTTCTTGATTTCTGCTGTAAATGTGAATTTCTCCATTCTCAAGTATATGGATCTACGAACAAAATAACTAGTTTCTAAATGTTTATTCTACTAGCCTTTGAAAACAGACTCCACCTCCTTCCCACCCCTTAAGACATGCTACGGACAAGCAAAATGTGAAGGAAATCCTATAGATGTAGAACAAGTGTCAGCAAATCTTGTGACTTAGTGGCACATTACTGACCAGTGGAGATAATTTGGATTATTTGTGACCTCAAATTCTCTTACACAATGCCATTACAAAACTCTTGACATTAAACACACACTAGTATAAATTATTGGTTACAACTTTCTTCTAAAGATGATCTTTACATTCATAGGATTCATTAACTAGGAAACAAACATCAGATGTATAACCTCAATTGCATTGAACACAAACTGTTTCTCACCTGTGCTCGTTCACCATCGTACTTGTATTCACAAGTGAATGCAGCATTTTCAAAGCGTTTAAACACCTCCTCTACTCCCTTTGATGGGTGAGCCAGCATAGGCTTAAGAGGGATGCCTAAGAGAGAAAATTTATTGCAAGAACTAAGCATGCAATCTGTGCAGAAAGTTTTCAAGCTGTAGCTCTCAACACAAACTGCTGACCTATGAGAATAGGTAATAATATTTACAACAAATAGAAAAAAATAAATATTACTTAGTTTTACAACTTACAGTAGTTTTCCACTGTTAAATAATATTATTATTGTGCTACTTTAGTAAAGTTTTGCAATTGTTGCAATTTTTGTTACTGATTGTGGGTACGTATTATTTTGCTACCTCATATTGAAATTTTGTATTAACTTTTCATGATTACATCCAAGGTTGAATGTAAGTGACTTTATCCTCAGTATTCAACAAGCCAGTTACTGAACTACACCTGTGAATATCGTGGAATATCTGTAAGCAGGTATTAACAACATACAGTATGGGTACAGAGTTTTACCTGGAGTCAGGTGGCAATGTTTTGGCAGCGTCTCCAAGCCATGATCCAGGATGGATGGAATGAGTTTATTGTAGTTAGGCATTTCACTGTCAAAGTAAGATTTGTAGTTCATGGGCTACATACTAAAATTGTGTAGGATAAAAGTCTGCATATGAGACAAGTGGCGCATCAGGGCAGAGTTTATCCCGGTTTCTGTAGTTTGAAGTGACTAGGAGTATTTCTACTCCCCCCTTGATGGGATGCTAGTCCATTGCAGCGTTACTCCCAGCATTAAATTCACCGGTACCCATTTGTACACCTGGGTGGAGAGAGGCACTATGGGGGTAAAGTGTCTTGCCCAAGAATACAACACAATGTCTCCGGCCAGGGCACGAACCCAAACCACATGTAAATACTAGTGCATACAAAGGCCTGTAGTTATTAATGTCTTCAGCGTACATTTATTTACTAGCCTATAATGCATGTCCAGTTTATCAAAAGCATGTCATAAACACATTCAAGTTCAAGCTCAAAATATGAATTAAACCGCAGTGATTGTCATACATTCCTTTATGATAATTTTGAGAAGTTGGTTGTTCGTTAAGATTATTATTTCTTTGTTAATGATGACAAAATGCATTACAATTTTTTCCTCCTCACTGCTTGTCTGCTTGAAATTGCACCAAAATTGATGCTCATGAAGGAAACTAACTTACCAGTAACAGGTCTTGACAATTAAAGCAGCCTCGTCTTGTTTCTTTTTCAATTCATCCCCAGAAAAATTCTTTCCATTGTCAATTATGGGAGGGGGAAACTCTGAAATTGAAAAAAGAACAGCTGAAATGCTAACAAAAATAAATGCAAATGAAGGCTTTATTATTCCAATTAGCACTGAAAAGAAGGAACATGTAACATGACTGTGGGATTAATCTATAGCACATGTGGTACAGCTATTTATTGGGATCATTTCTTCATGCCAGCCAAGTAGATGAGCTGCAAATATGATTGCAAGAGCTTCCAATGGCTATTGTTACCTTTGCTTGGAGGAGTGAGAAAGGCAGCATGTCCCAGTGCTATTAACACAGACTGTTCAGCAAGACCAATCCTTAACTTGCCACCTAGAGATCTTTAAACAAATCAACTCATCAAATTGAGTGATCATACTGTCTTATGAAATATGGTATGCCAGCGCAATTCAAATGCTAAAACCCAATAGGATAACAGAAATTAGTATCACCCAACTAGTGGACTAATGCAAATCCTGCATTTCAATTGGCTACACTACTAGTCCTTGAGTAGCAAAATTGGCGCAATCAAGTTTTCTTTCGTCTTATTCCCCAAAAAAGATTTCTTCAGCCTGCATTTGCTAACTTTATTATTGCCTTTTCTGTCTGACTAGTTGGGTGATACTAAACCAATTAGACCCTTTAAAAATGGTCCTGTAACCAGGTGGTTGATTCGTGATTGAAAAACGTTACTCTGGTTTAAAAATGTAAAAATGTTAGTGAAAATTCTTTTTGTAAAAGTCCCAACATTTTGGCTAAAACTTCAGCCTTCATCAGGGGAAAGTGACAAGGAATTTGTTGAAAAGGCACGTTCTTATACTATGCAAATCGGCAAATCGGCAAATCGGAGCTAATTATGTTCTGTCCCTTAGGGCTAAATCTAAAAATTCGTGCGGCAAATGCACACCATCATCACGGTTCAGCGGATTCCTACAAGTGTTAATTTCCCATGCTTCTAAAATACGTCTGTTGCACCAATTTGTGCTTGTACGTAAGATCTTTGAAGATTCCCAGGAGATGGTGTGGCCAGAGTGTAAACAATGTTCCGCTAAAACTGACTTGTGCGAGTGTTTGTTTACAACCGCTTTTTGATGCTCTTTGAGCCGGGTGGAAAATTTTCGTTTCATTTCTCCAATGTAGCTTTTGTCACAACCTTGACAGGGAATTGAATAAATTGCGCCATGAGTCTGATCTTTCGGGACTGGGTCTTTTGGTTTGGGAAATAAATTGCCGATGGTATGGTGTGGTTTTAAAGCAACTTGATATTGTAATTGCTTAGGATTCGCTTAATCGGTTCCATAGTGCCCTTGACATACGTCATGAAACGACATACGTCATGAAATCGTGAAACAATAAGACCCTTCGCCCTCAAAGGCCATGGATCAATAGCCCATTCGGCTTCGCCTCATGCGCTATTGACCCGTAGCCCCTAATTGTTAAATAGTCACTAGTTTTACCATCAGAAGAGTGTAACACAGATTCTACCAAAAACTTTCTCACTATGAACTGTAGCAATCTGACACAGATTTGTAAACAACTTACCGAATTAAGTATCTTGCTTCTGCATCCCGACAAGCAACAAACATGCCTTTAATTTTTTCTGACTTTCTTGTCATGGACTACAACCAAAAAAATACAAAAAAGACAATGCTTAGTCTGTGCTTGGTTTCAATCCAAATAGTATTGTATATTGTAAGTCACATGTTAATTTTATATGTTAATTTGTTTTTTGTAAGTAATATTAGTATTTGTTAGTAGTCTTGTACCACATAATTATAAAGTAGTGTTGGTATTGTATTATGTGGTTGTGCGGGGGTTTCATTAAGGGCTGGGTACTATGCAAATTGACCGGCTGTGAGGGTGATTTTGCCCGTCTGGTTTGGCCATTTAAAGGAAAGTTTTGGAAGTTCAGTTCAAATAGTTTTTCCCAGCTGTGAAACCAGTAAATTGTTACTGAAGCCCCTGGCTGTAGCTTGTAAGTAATATATTGTATTGTAAGTAACTGAAAATAAAAAAAAGTATTGTATTCAGCCATTCCAAAATCCATCCCATTTTCCAATATTCTTACAAGTTTGCAACAGGTAATAATAACTTTCCACAACACAATCACACTTACAAGTACTGTGTTCAGGAAAAAAAGAAGTGAATGCGAAACATCTTTAACATTATAGATGATCAGACTAACCAATAAAACATCTACGTAACAAATGTACAAGTATTTTTAGAAACAGTGGGGAGAATTCATATAGTAATCCTGGGACTAAAAGAGCTTAATATGTACTCACACTATGTCCTGTCATCATAGCAATGTCCTTTAGTTTGGTGAAGACACCCTCAGCAGTGAGCTTGGGTGGAGCAAACATGGTGCGCTGTGTGCTACGGCAAGACTGACAAGAAGAAAGCAGACAATATCACTGATAGTGGTTTCACAATTTCCTGTGGGTGGCTGCCCTGGTGCAGCCTTTGTCAAAAAGCAGTAAGAGAGGGCCGTTATAACTTCCTGTACAGTGCAATTTTTTTTAAACTGCCAATGTGTATATAGCTGGTGATTTACAACAGATTACATGTACATGTAAGAGCTCGAAAGGGTACAAAGTCTTACTGAAGCACTGTCAGTATTAATGGTCCGAAAAAGAGCAAGTTCACAATCCAGTCCTGTGTGTATGTAGCTGCTGAGTATCATGTGTGACTACAGTAAGCTAGTAACATGGTTTGAAAATGGATCAAAGGCCATCAAAAAAGGTCCAAAATAGTTTCTTGTAAAGGTTCAGTGTATTGCCAATACCTTACCCTCTTGATTAAAGTTGTTTTGATGTGGATCAGTATGGTCTGAGACAAAATTTTGCCATTGAAAATTGAAACTTTTCCACCTCCATTTACACAGTTTGTCAGTTATTTCTGATTATATGCTGTAATTAACAGATGAGTACTTACCTCAGCTACTATCCCTAAATCTCCCTTTTCTCCAACATCAGACTTGATCTGTTGCAGGCTCCGTCCTAAAATAAAATTACAACAATAATTTTATTCTTTACAAGTACTTGTTGCAAACTAAATCTATGCAGTTGGAGTTACATGTACCTGACTAAATGCACCTAAAAGATGCGTTCATTTTCAAAGACTACCCCGAAAATGGCAAACTGCCAGCAAAATCTATTTGGAATAACACAATAAAATTATCGCCTGTGCTGAGATTCAAGAATAAGCTTGCATCCACCAAAGGTCTTGATACCACTGCTGTGAAATGCTTGCTAATACTGAGAATCTGAAATCACAAGTATTGTTTGATGAACTTGTTCCCGCAGAGACATACAAGTAAGAGTACCTGTGGACTCTGCAACAGCTTTCATCAGAATGTTTTCTCCAATGCCAAGTTCAATTCCTTCATATGCTGGAGCCAACTATGAAACAAACCAAGACAAGTCATTACTGACAGTGGAACTACAAAAAACAAAGAAGAAAATAAATATAGTTGGAGCACTGATATACAGGCAAGTGGGTTAAGTTGAGTAGATGGGTAGGTAGGAAGGTAGGAAGGCAAAGCCCATGTTTGGATCATCAAATGAGAGACACTGCAGGACTTATATAGTAAATTCTTAGAGATTTTAGGTCTGTCAAAAGAAGAACTGTAATAGTTACTAATTGTTCATATGATTGGTAGTTAGATGAATAGAAATGCTACATACCTTGTTGAGGCAGAGATAAACGCAGGGCAGTAGGTCATCAGGTGACAAAGCAATAACTGAACGAAAGAAGTTGCTGAGGATGGAAGTGATCTTTAGCCTGTTGTGAGTTAAGTGTAAAAATGTCAGTTAATCATACCGAGAGCAGTTTGCAATTGAGTGTTGAAGGTAATTTCAATTCACTTTCAATTGGGTTTGGATCAATCCTTTCTGTGATTGTTTGAGCCAATAAACTCAACCAAAAAGATGCAAAACCAAAATCAATAGGGTCTTGGTAAAGCTCTTTTTCCCACACAGTTCAGGTGTTCAAATGCATCATGTTCTCAAGGGTTCATAGAGGTGTCCAGCTGTTGTTATTTGCTGTTATAAGCCGTTGTGATTGCTTTGGTTTTGGTTTTATGACACTCAAATGAAAACTGTGAAAATGAAAATTAATAGCATTTCCTCACTTTTGTTGCTCAGTTGTCTGTATGTATATTACCTTGCAGAGGTGTCTTCTATGGCCTGAAATGTTCTTGCCACGGCTAAGTATGGTACTCTGAAAGAGAAAAAAAAAACTGTTAATAGGACTTTTTTTAAAGACAGTATCATGTATAATAACTGATTCAGAGGGCTATCAAAAGTAAATTCACTGGTGCAGTGCTTAATAGAAAGAACTGAGTGAATACTCTTTCAGCATAGGAGGTGTGGGGATCCTGTCATCACTGGTTGCCTGTAATGATACATGGTGCTTATTTTCAAGACTGAAATTTCCAAAAGCTGAATGCTTATTCCCACTAGTAGTAATATCAGGCTACTCTGAATGTTCAGGGCTTGTAATTGGTACAGTGGCCCTTTCAACAGCTGAAGTCTGTTGACTTGCTGTTACCCCCCCCCCCCCCCCCCTGCAACAACTGGGACTGTTTCCAGCTGAATTACACTGGGTTGCACAAGTTGTAATCATAATCTTTGGCAATTCAACTACAAATTAAATATTTCTAAGCAGGGCTGTTATGAACAGCCGTAACCCCTAAAACCTGTTACAGCTGAGTATGCTTGATTGTCCCTTGAAGATACTGGTGAAATTGCCTGTTGTTGATAGAATTTACCCACAAAGTAAAAAATTACAACGGGTGTGTGGAGAACAAGGCTTCAGGTGACTCAAACCTTAATGACAGCCCTGTCTAAGGACCTGGAAGGTTACCTCTCTCCATGTTTCCAACAGGCATGTTTTATGGGGTGGTAGTAGTTCTTCTCTGGTGAATATTCTGTGGCTTTGACAGGTCCAACACATTCTTCATCATCAGACATTTTGTTTGTCGAACTTGAAAACAAAAACAGTCACAAACAAGTCTTCAACAACTGTGTTATTGGGAAAGGCACATGCTACTCTCCATGTCTCCTCTCTCCATGTCAGAGAATCAAAGAGGCAACTACAAAATAGAAGGGCAACCAAACAAAATGCTGGACCCAACATCCAATACACTAGCGTCTCATCCAGGGAGAGCAGCAATCCTCCTCTAGAGTTGCTTCAAGCTGCAAAACCTGCTCCTCCAATCCTTATGGAAAAGGATTGATTTCACCTCTATATTATGGTTCATTCTTACCTTTTTTCCTTTGATGATTGACTGTTTTGCTCACTTTTACTCTTCTCTCTAATCGTTTGATCTTTATTATCTGCCTTTCTGGATCTCTTTGGAGCTACAAGTTAGAATAAACAGTATAATTACTAAACATGCGCTTGAACCTACTGTGTATAGAAAAATTATTCTTGTTTCCTTTGTTTCAGTGGCATGCCTGTAAACTAGCTAAGCCTAGTGCTTGTATAGCTACAGTAAGTGCATGACCACTACAAATAAGATTTACATTTACATTTTTTTTTTTTTTTACAACTGAATCGTTTAATAACAATTAATTTACTGTGACAGAGGTATTGGAATGTGGAAACTGGTTCAGTTGACTTCTGTTTCAGGATCTGGATTCCAGTTTACAACATTCAGTTATAACCAACTTTCTTTGATGGTTGGGGACTACACATCTTTTTACTGCATCACACATTACACTGCAAGTCTGAGTGTGAATGCATTCTCAGCCAAAAGCCCTTATGCGGGGAAGGTATGGATTTTTCTAGCACATTTAATTATACTTACAGAAGAAGTCACTGAACCCTCCCTTGGTCTTTTTTTCATTCTTGTCATCCTGATTTTTACTTAGTGGCTCTTTTTTCTGATCTCTCTTGTTCTCCATCTTTATTTCATCTTTTGTTCTTTGAATGCTGGTGCTACCTTTTTTCTTTGTTTCACCATTTTTTGCACTTTCCACCTTGTCATCTTTGTCAATATCTTCTTTACCTCCATTGTGACTTCTGTCTTCTTTCCTATTCTGGTGTTTTTCTTCTTCAGTAGAGGCCATCTCAATATCACCACTGCTTTCCGACAATGTATCCTCTTCTTTCTTCTCAGTCGTGTCTCCCTTATGATTTTTATCCTTTGTTTTCTTTGAATCTCTTCTTTTTTCTGCTTTCTTATTGCTAGTGTTTTTTGTTGCTGTCTTCTCCTCCTTGCTTTCATTTTCAGATTCACATTCTCTTTTCACATTATTTTGCCCTTCTACCTCTGTTTGTTCAACATCACCCACTCTTTTACCTCCACCTTTAATATCAGTGTTTGATACGCTTCCTGTCTCTGTTCTTTCTTCATCCACTTTACTTTGTACTGGCTCATTATCCTCGCTAGGGATTTTATTCTTGTTTTCTAATGAAGGCTGCTCGGACTTAGCTCTTTTAATTGCCTGTGCCTGAAAGATGAGGAATCAGAATGTTAATTAACAACTTACCTTATTATAGGAAATTAACGCTCATGTTAATTAATGTACTTGAAATTAACGCGACTTAAATTGAAGGTAAATTTGCTTCCCAATAAAGGAAATTAACGCATCTGCTGCTGGAGTGTGTCACAGATTTGGGGAAAATAATGGTAATTAACATTGCAGAAATTAACACGCAACTTAATTAACAGCACAGAAATTAACATTTACATAAGTTAATGTGACTTAAATTAACGCGAATTTCAAAAATGTACATTAATTTCATGAAGCGTTAATTTCCTATAATAAGATAAGGCATTTACATGGTTGCCACAGACATCACTTTTCAAAACTCCTTGATTTTTCCCTGATAAAAATAGCATTTCCCTGACAAAAAAGGTACAAACTGCCAGATCTAGTAACGGCTCCTAACGTGAACTTACAGCTGTCCTTAAGAAAAAAATATCACTGAAATCACAGCGACATCAAATGTCTCTTCCAGCCATGTTAAATTATTTCAATTTTCCCTGACTTTTCTTCAAAATGTCAATTTTTCCTGACTCAAAATAAACTTCCCTGACCTGTAGCAACCCGGATTTAGGTTGAGATCATAGTTACACTAACTTTGCAGATCTATGACGTTGACTTGAATTTTGTGGACTTGAAGGGATTTCCTAAATAAATTCCTTTTGAAGTTGGAAAGTGTGATAATTTAAATGCACTAACATTAATCCTTTCTCAGTTTTTTTTTTCAGTCGACAAATACCAAAAAACACCTTCTCATGTCTTGCAAGAATGTGCTAATACCTACATAATGTTTACGCTTTGACAAGAAGTACAACAGTTTACAAAAATTCACTGTATCTGAACTCTCGTCCTTCTTAGCACAAAAACTGTGAATTTTTGGCCATTAAGCCCAATGATGTGACTGTGGTGGCCATTTCAGTAAGAGTGTTGTATAAACAGAACAAGGTGTGGTCACCAAAAAAACTCTGGCCATTGTGGAGAGGTTGCCACTAAAAATTAAGCAGCTGTTAGTGGAGGTACAATGTACTTTACCTTATTCCCACTTGAAGATTCGTCTTCACTTGAAGCCTTCCTTTTTCCAGGTTTCCTTGCTGCAGAGAAGACCAGACAAACATTTAGCACTGTATATTTGGATCATGTGTACTAAAGGCATCAGCAGTTGAGTGTCAATTGATATTCATGACCGCTACTCTCAATTGACATCTCAATCAATACTCAATCGACATCCCAATCGATACTTGGTTGACACTCTACCGACACTTGATCAACAGTCAGTTGATAGTTGGCTCATATCAATCAAGTGGACTGGCTCATATCAATCAATTGAAAATTAGTCGACTTTCAACCGACTGTCGACCGAGATGTCGATGGAGTGTTGACAGTGTCAATGGAGGTGTTGATCAAGTGTCGATCAAGTATCAATCAAGGGTTGATCAAGAGCACTGATCGACACTAGACCACGGATGCCTTTAGTACATATGATCTATATATTTTACTATTAGTTGAGGGATGATATTATAAAGTTTATCATTCAAATTCAATGTATTCTAACCAACCTTGCAAATTTGTTATCTAGTGATACCAAGTAAGGATTAAATAATTAAGTACAGTATGTACCATGTGGCCAAAGCTGTTATATCTAAATGGCTGCTGTCCTTAAAACTATGCATCAGCTATAAGGATTAGGGTTCTAAATTATTTCCTTCATCAGCTGTTCCCATTTCTGTTTATAGATGTAGATGTGACAAGGTATAAAGACCCAAGTATCCACAAGTGCCAAGGGAATTTTCAAAATTAAAGCCAAATAAGTGTACTCTTCATCCATAAACTTCAAAAATTGATATTTTCCCAACATGGGGCAGACAACATACAGTAAAGTGTAAAAAGTGGGTGTAAGTGTTGTGAAATTGGGTGTAAGTGTAGTGTGTTTGTAAAATGTGATGGATAAGAATTGTGTGCCATTCTGAAGTAACTCAAAGAGAATTTTCAAAATTAAAGCCCTATACAGTACTGATGTAAGTGTACTCTACATAACGCAGTGTTGGAAATTAAAATTTGACAGTTCTTGCCATTCGAGCGAATGACTCCCAAAATGCACTGGCCTGGTGTAGTTTTCACTCGCCCAGAAAGATACCACCCCTCCCCTGAAAAAATCTCTGCAATGGTTCACAAACTATATGTTTTTTCAGTATCAGCTAGCTTGCCATTTACCATCAACCTTTGACACTCCTTGGGAATTTTTCCACATTTCTGTAGTTTTAACTGAAAAACAGCTTAACAAACAGCTGGCACTACCGAATTTGCGTACATACATGTGCCTAGCTAGAATCAAGACATTATTGGCATCATCTTCAATCTAATGGTTCAACTAGACACCTGTATCACTTCATAGAAGTGTAACCATTATGTAAATTATCACTGCGAGGAAGCCGTATTTTATTTTGTCCTTTTATGAAACACTACGTTGTGTATCATTGGCAATTTATTATTTGGACATCTCAAAAGATAAAAAGTTGAAAACAAAACACACTGGTAAGTTTACATTTAGAGATATTCTTGCCACACTCGAAAATAAAAAAGCTTACATAAATTTCCAAAAACAAAAATGGTACTCGCCAAACAAACAAGTGATTGTTGATTTGAACTTGCCCAACGCTTTTTACACTAAATAGCAAGCAGGTGAGTGCTAATTTCCAACACTGACAATGGTAGTATGTGTTTTTCAAAGTGATAATTTTCTAGGGTTGTCAAAAAAAGTTTTGAGGAAGGTGGCTTAGTTGTTGGAGCAAAGGATGATTTTGCTATCTTTTTTAGAGTCAGATTTAGTAGCCTAGTAGAGTAGCTGGCTAAGATCATGAAGCAGGAAGTGATCTTTGTTAGCTGTCTGCTACTTTTGTTAATCCTAAATTTTTGAAGAAACTCCTGTGCTGTATTTGTGGGAAAGTGCAATACTTAAATCAATATCAACTTGAGATTGATTACGTTAGATAACCTGAGAGGAGGTTAAGGAAAAGCTGGCACTTTATACTAGCATTTTAGATCTTCCACTTACTTAGTGTGATCCAAGTACTGTGGTTCACTGTGAATTCAAATGTTAGCTTATAAAACATCACATTAGACAAAAGTAAACAAGCAGTGAAGCACTACTGTATTAATATTGAAATCCTTGTGTGACTCACCTGTCTTTCTCTTAGGGATAAGTGTTGGCTTATTTTGGGGCGATATAACTTTAATAAACTTCCTTGTTTCATTACCATCTTCAGCTTCACCATCTACTCCAGCAGTATCACCATCTTGCCCTTCATTAGCCTTTTCGTTGTTCTTCACATGTCCATTTTGGTTGGCTGAGGAGTGATTGTCATCCACTCCATTATTTTCTTCATCACTACTATCCTCAAGTATCCGACGGGATTTTTGTTGTCGAGCCTTTTTGACAGGTGGTGAGTCAGTATCCACAGACTGAGTTTTGAACTTCAGTGGGGTCCTCTCTTTCATGTCAACATCTTTACTGCTGCGATATGTAAGACTTTAACATCATTAATTGCTAAGGGAAAACTTGTCTATATGCAACACACCGGACGACAAAATTGGACTGATGCTATCTTTTAAACTGATATTCCAGATCTCATCGCCTTATGTATTATGCATGCACTCACATTTTAAATACGCCCCCCCCCCCCCCACCCACCACCGGTTGACAAAGTACATCAAAATGTTCCTGATCAAAGTGTGAGGCCTCCCTTACCCACTCAGATGAAATGATTTTTTTTTTTTAAAGATCCCCTTTCAGAAATACTTAAAAAGTGCAATCCCATTACAAGCAACCCATCCCCATTGAAACAGTCGTCAACACAGACTGGGGGAGAAGGAATCTTGTCAACAGGAATTGGGGGTAGAAGGTACATTCCATTATGTCATAGAAATTTAATTTGTCTCGGGAGATGAATATATTTTTGCCCAAAATTTACAATTTTAGCAAACTGGATTTCATTGTTTTACTATTAACTTCTCCATCTCGGGAGCTCCACTGAAAAAACCTGGCCCATTCTGCCATTCCCCCTCCCCCCTGACTGAGCGCCATATTGAAATATTTTGCCAGTGCGACCGCACACCAGCAGCGTCAGGCTGCTATTAAATAAACCTTACAAACCTCGACAAGTCCTGGTCGTTTACTTCGTCTCTTTTTGGTTTAAAGTTAGTCTTCGGTTTGGTACTCGGAGAGAAAAACGCTCTGGAACGAAAATTATGGATAAAATGAAATTAGCAACTGTGATGCTCTGTTCTACGACGAATAAGTTTTAAACTTAGGGTTGCACTCTTCAGAAAAACCACAACATGCAAAGAGCAAGGTATTGCGTCTTACGCTATTCCCCTTTGAGCCATTGCTGAAGTGTCTAAATGAAAGAGTTTTCAAATAATACAAGATGCATGAAGATGAATATTTCCAACATCGAACATATTCCCTCAAGTAGACTCTCTTCCCGCCAATTTTCATTCTTGCCCCCAGACCCTCCTGTCGCTCTTAGCCGGCGGGGCCTTGGCATGGGGAAACTGTGGAACGCAAGATCACGGTGCCAACCACGGTGCCTACTTTTGTTAGTGCGCACACGTTCTGCGTGTTAGAAGTTGGGCTGTTATAATCCATCAAAACTGTAGTAAGCCACCTTAACATTGGTTGTGAGACCAATGCGGCTGCCGTGACGTCATTAGAAAACACTCAGATCGTTTTCACGTGACGTCATCAAGTTCTGAAATCTAAAACTAAAGAGCCAACAAATATCCTTCAAATCTTTTTCGTAACACCCGCAGTTTTGAAAATTGGGGAATATTCTCAGATATTTCCCAGTTTTAGCTGTGGAACATTCGGTCACGTGACGTGTTTAGACCAATCGCGCGCGAGCGAAAATATTTGATGGATTATAATGCGTGATAGCGGAAACGTCATATTGCTAAGACAACCCCCAATTCTTTATTTTCCAAGTGCCCATAATTCACTCTGTTTGTCCCACAGGTTTTGCATAAACTATTATTTTTAAATGCTCTTAGGAGGTCTGCATATTCCCAGAAGCATTTCACAACAGTAGTTTATGCAAAATTTGGGGGGCAAAAAGAGTGAATTATGGGCAGTTGAAAAAAAGAGAATAAGGACATTAACTCTAGCCATTCCCAAGGGATCCAGGGCAGTAGAGGTTCCATTTTGTTTGAAATCTGTTTCCATGCCAACTGTCCAAGTGAGATACCAGACATCTTCAGAATCACTTGACGCTGGTTTCAAACCATTAAATAAGTTATCTTCGCCCCTCTTCTCTTTGCCCCTCTTCATCTCTGGCATGCTATGGCCAAATCACCCCGGCCCCCGTGGGCGTTGGTTCGTGAGAGGAAGTGTTGCGTGACGGACGCGTGACGCAACGTAAACGAAGGGGACTGGGCGTGGCGTGGCGACAGTTTACAGCAGTAGGTGTTCATACCTGTCTTTGAACTGGAAATTTCAAGCTTTCGCCATCTTGGGTTCAGTCATAAGTCCTTTCTTTCTGCGGTGAAGACTTTAAACTTGATTTCTTTGTGTTGCTTTGAATTTGAAGGAGCCCGAAGCCACGATGCAAGCGATCAAATGTGTAGTTGTTGGAGACGGGTAGGGAGTCCATTTTGATTATATACGAACTCACATTATGATTTTTTTTTTGAGGGAATTATTGCTCGATGTTACGTGAAAGTTTTACATTTGTCGATTTTCTGTTGGTTTACGATCTTAAACCGCTTTTATTTAAAGACCCTCGACTTCTTGTGATGTTTTATTCGGGATTCAAGGTCTCATAACTTCATCAACTAGCGGCCGGCGTGACAGAGTTCTAAGAACATGTTTTCGCTTGTTTGCTTATATTGCCGCGCCGGTGTTCTCAATTACCCGAATTTTTTCCGCCAAAACCAGCAATTAAGTCGTTAATTGTTTGTTCGTTTTCTTGTTATAGTGCTGTTGGTAAAACCTGCTTGTTGATCAGCTATACTACAAATGCTTTTCCGGGGGAGTATATTCCGACAGTGTAAGTATGCAATGCTCAACTCTTCTTGTGTTGTTTTTGCTGTTTTACAACATTTTATAGACGACTTTCCCATCGCCCCTGTCGTCCTACATCCACATTTATTGAGTACTAAACTTATTGAATCACTTGTTTATTTTATCAGCAACAATTAACGGTCGAAGCTAAGCTGATCAAAATTTCACTGATCTTTTTGTGTTCCAGATTTGATAATTATTCTGCAAATGTTATGGTTGATGGCAAACCTATAAATCTTGGCTTATGGGATACAGCAGGTACGTCCAGGCATTGACTTTGAAATATTTTCCCTCTTAAAAGACTTAAAAGAAGACACCATAACACTTGAAAGTTGATTTTTTAAAGTTAATTAATGAAGGTGCTTAAACTTTAATGTATTAATG